AGTATCTTTAAGGTGTGTGATGCAGTTTTAACACACAGGCTTCATACATGCACATGCCTGATAGTGCCCACAAGGCTATGATGGAGTGAATCTGGAGAGTGGCAAGTTAAGATGCAGGATCAGGATCAAAGAATTGATCCTTGCAACTACAGCGCTCCAAGTTCTGCCATTCACAGTACAGTTCCTTTCTCTACAATTTTACTGATGGCAACAAATGCCTTTGTCATTTGTAAACTGTATGGGCAATAGAGAAACTGCCTGCATCATTTTATGCGGTGGTGGCAACTGCCATGAAAGTGCTAAATGTAAGGTAATTTTTATTGCATTAATTAGGGTTATGGGAAAGTCACACAACCTCTACAAACTTTGTATGTGATATTTTTTTTTGTAAGCAAGCAATTCCAATGGATACTCAATCATTACTTTTTTTGTTTTGGACATATTGGCCATCTCTCCCGAGGAGGATGACCCAAAAAAGAAACACTTTCACTCATCATCACAAACAATCAACTGTCTTTGCTGAGGCACTCAGATACAACAGTTATGAAATACAGCCTTCCTCACTGAGCGTTGGAGTTCTGTTCCTAAGGCCACGTCATTAAATGAATCATTGCCTCAGTAAGAGCATACTTATAATGGTAGAGTGTTTGTGTCAACATTTTGATATTGTTATAATGTCACCTTTGCACTATTTATAACATTTCTGGTATATTTTTAAATGTTTCTACAGTTAGTGTTAATGTATATTGAAATCAACAGAATAGGGAATCAGCTCTAATTATACATTATTTAGGTATGAATGCTGGTCAGAGCCCCATTGTAAGTTCGAGGACGTCGGTAAACGAGTACTCGCTCTAAGTGACGGAGAGGCTGTATATATATATATATAAATTTTAAGATTCAGGTTCAAACTTTTTGAACACGTAAAAGGAAGATGCAAGTATGTGTGTGTACCCAACAATTCTTGCCTGGCTTAGATGTCATCCCTCCCAACAGCCATGTATCCCAAACCCCCTCCAGTAGTACTGCAGGTATTCCCTACCTCCATATGTACGAGCTGTATTAATAGTGTCTCTTACTTTTACTGGGTCACTCTGCCGCGGTGAGAGATGGTCCACACTGCTCGGTCGAGAGATGGTCACCGTGCCTCGGTGAGAGATGGTTCACCGTGCCGCGGTGAGAGATGGTCACGTGCCTCGGTGTGAGATGGTCACGTGCCTGGTGAGAGATGGCCGACGTTCTTGAGAAAAAAGAATCTCTTATACAATTTTTTACTAACTGCTTTATTTTCTAATCATACTTAAGTGCTAAATACTACAAGCTTCGTACAACACTACAATACTTCAATGCCTTTAACAAATGACAAACTTCCTGGTCACTTTATCATATCTCTTCATATTCAAACTCCATTATTATATATTTACACCCAACTTTCTTCTTTCTTGCTCTCCTGTTAGCTATCATTATGAGTATTTATCACCACTAAACTTATTTCATGAGCATCACTGACCAGATCATCATTTATTTTCTGTACTCTTTTAATGATTAATTCGACCCTGCCCACACTAGACCAAACACATTTTGTAAATCTAATGCTTCGTAGCATGTTTTTTTTTTTTTTATTACACACGGCCGATTCCCACCAGGCAGGGTGGCCCGAAAAAGATAAACTTTCACCATCCATTTCACTCCATCACGGTCTTGCAGAAGGGTGCCTTTGTCACTACAGTTTTTAAACTGCAAACATTAACACCTCTCAGAGTGCAGGCACTGTACTTCCATCTCAGGACTAGTCCGGCCCTTGCCGGTTTCCCTGAAATACTTCATAAATGGTACTTTGCTCACATCCAACAGCTGTCAAGTATTAAAAACCATTTGTCTCCAGTCACTCCTATCAAACCGCTCATCATGCCTGCTGGAAGTCCAAGCCCCGCGCACACAAAACCTACTTTACCCCCTCCCTGCACCAACCCTTCCTAGGCCGACCCCATACCCGCCGTCCTTCTCTTAGACTGATACACTCTTGAAGTCATTATGTTTCGCCTCCTTTCTCGTCTTACACGTCGAACCACCTTCAAACTTCCTTCCTCTGACCTCTGGAACAACAGTTTTGGTAATCCCGCACCTCCTCCTAACATCCAAACTTACGAATTCTATGACATTATATTCACACCAAACATTGCCTCAGACATGGACATCTCACTGCCTCCAGCCTTCTCCTCGCTGCAACATTCATCACCCACGCTTCACACCCATATAAGAGCGTTGGTAAAACTATACTCTCATACATTTCCCCTCTTTGCCTCCAGGACAAAGTTCTTGTCTCCACAGACTCCTAAGTGCACCACTCACTCTTTTCCCTCATCAATTCTATGATTCACCTCATCTTTCATAGACCCATCCGCTGACACGTCCACTCCCAAATATCTGAATACGTTCACCTCCTCCATACTCTCTCCCTCCAATCTGATATTCAATCTTTCATCACCTAATCTTTTTGTTATCCTCCATAACCTTACTCTTTCCTGTATTCACCTTTATATTTTCTTCTTTGCACACCCATCCAATTCATCCACCAATCTCTGCAACTTCTCTTCAGAATCTCCCAAGAGCACAGTGTCATCAGCAAAGAGCAGCTGTGACAACTCCCACTTTGTGTGTGATTCTTTATCTTTTAACTCCACGCCTCTTGCCAAGACCCTCGCATTTACTTCTCTTACAACCCCATCTATAAATATATTAAACAACCACGGTGACATCACACATCCTTGTCTAAGGCCTACTTTTACTGGGAAAAATTTCCCTCTTTCCTACATACTCTAACTTGAGCCTCACTATCCTCGTAAAAACTCTTCACTGCTTTCAGTAACCTACCTCCTACACCATACACTTGCAACATCTGCCACATTGCCCCCCTATCCACCCTGTCATACGCCTTTTCCAAATCCATAAATGCCACAAAGACCTCTTTAGCCTATCTAAATACTGTTCACTTATATGTTTCACTGTAAACACCTGGTCCACACACCCCCTACCTTTCCTAAAGCCTCCTTGTTCATCTGCTATCCTATTCTCCGTCTTACTCTTAATTCTTTCAATTATAACTCTACCATACACTTTACCAGGTACACTCAACAGACTTATCCCCCTATAATTTTTGCACTCTCTTTTATCCCCTTTGCCTTTATACAAAGGAAACTATGCATGCTCTCTGCCAATCCCTAGGTACCTTACCCTCTTCCATACATTTATTAAACAATTGCACCAACCACTCCAAAACTATATCCCCACCTGCTTTTAACATTTCTATCTTTATCCATCAATCCCGGCTGCCTTACCCCCTTTCATTTTACCTATGCCTCACGAACTTCCCCACACTCACAACTGGCTCTTCCTCACTCCTACAAGATGTTTATTCCTCCTTGCCCTATACACGAAAATCACAGCTTCCCTATCTTCATCAACATTTAACAATTCCTCAAAATATTCCTTCCATCTTCCCAATACCTCTAACTCTCCATTTAATAACTCTCCTCTCCTATTTTTAACTGACAAATCCATTTGTTCTCTAGGCTTTCTTAACTTGTTAATCTCACTCCTAAACTTTTTCTTATTTCAACAAAATTTGTTGATAACATCTCACCCACTCTCTCATTTGCTCTCTTTTTACATTGCTTCACCACTCTCTTAACCTCTCTCTTTTTCTCCATATACTCTTCCCTCCTTGCATCACTTCTACTTTGTAAAAAACTTCTCATATGCTAACTTTTTCTCCCTTACTACTCTCTTTACATCATCATTCCACAATCGCTCCTCTCCCTCCTGCACCCACTTTCCTGTAACCACAAACTTCTGCTGCACACAACTCTAACACTACATTTTTAAACCTACCCCATACCTCTTCGACCCCATTGCCTATGCTCTCATTAGCCCATCTATCCTCCAATAGCTGTTTATATCTTACCCTAACTGGCTCCTCTTTTAGTTATAAACCTTCACCTCTCTCTTCCCTGATGCTTCTATTCTCCTTGTATCCCATCTACCTTTTACTCTCAGTGTAGCTACAACTAGAAAGTGATCTGATATATCTGTGGCCCCTCTATAAACATGTACATCCTGAAGTCTAACTCAACAGTCTTTTATCTACCAATACATAATCCAACAAACTACTGTCATTCGCCCTACATCATATCGTGTATACTTATTTATCCTCTTTTTCTTAAAATATGTATTACCTATAACTAAACCCCTTTCTATACAAAGTTCAATCAAAGGGCTCCCATTATCATTTACACCTGGCACCCCAAACTTACCTACCACACCCTCTCTAAAAGTTTCTCCTACTTTAGCATTCAAGTCCCCCCACAATTACTTCTCCTTGTTAAAAGGGCCCCTAACATTCATTAACATCTCCAAAATCTCTCTCTCTCCTCGCATTCCCTTTCCCAGGGCAAGCATTTTATTTATATAATATTACAATTGCAACTTTTTCCTAAGATCGGCTCAGTACCACTTTCAAAAAACCTTTGGCAAATTTTAAAAACCCCTGAACTTATGACTCACAGAATCGAAATAACACAATTGAAAGCAAACAGGGAAAAGGTGGGGTTTGAACCCAGGGAAAGTTTAAGGGACTCATTTGCCGAGTTCAAACTCTCCACAGTTTTTTTTTTTTTTTTTTCCCGTACTTAATAACTTTGTTTGTCTCATTCCATTGCTATTTCCCCTAATTTAATTTTTATTTTTTTACTTTTCTCCCTTTCTATCTTTTCTGCCAAAAAATTTAAAAATTCATACTAGTTAAAAAATTTCATATTCCAAAATACTTTACAATAAAATTCTATTAAAAACTTCAATTTTTCACTAAAACTCGATTTCCCAGCCTTTATACCCCAACATTTCATTCTCTCCTTAATCAGCCCCCTTGCTTGCTGCCTTTTATTTTTTTTTCCCCCCCCCCCCCCAAAAAAAAAAAATCTTCTCCAAATGAAAAAGGCCCCCAAAAATTTATAACAATAAAAACACAAGTTTTAGAGAAAACATACAGACAAGGTTAAATATACAGTGGACCCCCGCTTAACGATCACCTCCCAATGCGACCAATTATGTAAGTGTATTTATGTAAGTGCGTTTGTACGTGTATGTTTAGGGGTCTGAAATGGACTAATCTACTTCACAATATTCCTTATGGGAACAAATTCGGTCAGTACTGGCACCTGAACATACTTCTGGAATGAAAAAATATCGTTAACCGGGGGTCCACTGTATACTGTATATAAAGAGCAACTGCTTTTAATGTTATAAAGGTTTTACTTACCAGAGCAGATAATGATAATAGATATAACTCCTTTCAAGCAAGCAAGTACTACAGAGAAGTGTATTTACAATATACAGTGGACCCCTGAGTTTCGGCGGCATCGACTTTCGTGAAATCTGACTTTCGGCAAGTTTTTTCGGCAAAATTTGGCCTCGCGTTTTGTGATTAGACTCATGATTCGGCGACCGTCTGGTACCCGTCTGCCCATCACCGCGCACACAAAGCCAGTCTCCCATGCCATTCATGCTCAGTGTGCCATTGTTTACCAACATGTGACCATCACCCCGTGGGTTCATACGTAATAATCAATTGTTTTTTGTGATTGCAACTGCTAAATAAGTCACCATGGGCCCAAGGAAAGCTAGTACAAGCCCTTTGGTAAAGAAAGTGAGGAACACGATCGAATTCAAGAAGGAAATCACTGAAAAATATGAGAGTGGAGTGCGTGTTACAGAGCTTGCCAGGATGTATGGCAAACCCCACTCAACCAGTACTTCAATCGTGGCGAAAGGAAAGGAAATAAAGTGTGCTGTTGCTGCAAAGATTAAGGACATTTGTGCAAAGTGGACTGAAGTGCAAACATTTATGGATGAACTTCACCCTAACAAAGCTGTTGCAGGCCGTACAATGACAGTGTTGTGTCCCACTTCAGACAAATCTTAAAGAAACGCCAGAAACAGAGCTCTCTGGACAGATATTTTGTGCGACAGGGTTCCAGTGACTCAAGTTGTTCCCAGTGCCAGTGTCTTTAAAAAACAAAGAAGGGAAGTAACCCCAGATAAGGACTTCATACCTGAAGTCCTAATGGAAGGAGATTCTCCTTCCAAACAATAGTGTACACCTTCCTCCTATCCCCTCCTCCTGTCTTCCATCCACCCAGAAGTCTTCAGTAAAGGTAAGTGTAATGTTATTATTATTTTTTATATGCATGTACTTGATTTCTCACTGTTTTCAGTATGTAAATCTTTACTTAATTTGAAAAAAATATTTAATTTTAATATTTTTGGGTGTCTGGAACGGATTAATTTTATTTCCATTATTTCTTATAGGGAAAATGGTTTCGCCATTCGGCAATTTCGACTTTCGGCAGGCTCTCTGGAATGGATTAATCGCGAAACTCGGGGGTCCACTGTACTGTATATAAATTATGATCTGGCCCAACTATGCAGGGAGAGTTGAGATTAAAGATGGCTGAAAAGAATACACTTGAAAAAGTCAAACCTTCTAAACTCTTGAAAAGCCTGCAGAATTCATGATCAAACACGAGATCTGAAGGTTGTTTGGCTGCCAGCTGAGGTGATTTTGCAGCCTTTGAGTATACTTCTGTTCTTGATATATTACTCAATTTATCACCAAAGTTTTCTGCCCCAATACGATCACTCACAAGCTGCTTGAGACTCTCTCTTGAGAAGTTGCTACCACTGCCGTCATTAAACTGGACACACAGACCAAGCAGGAATGCACAAAGACCCTGACAAACCATCTCAAGTTCATCATGCTCATTAGCACTCACCTGAAAAAATACATAAAATCACATGCAAATTAAAAATGTCCATTAATAACTAACTCACAAATTGGAAATAAAAACAGTCCTGGAGTCCAGAACATTGCCTATTTATTTTTCTCCAATTTATGAGTTAGATGTGAATTGTTTCAGCCATAATCTTGTGACTTACTTTAAAGCTGGCTATGATACATTAGCTAAATCACATTGATACACATATAATTATATAATAAGAATTCTATCACTACCTTGGTGGGAGACAGCCAGTGTGGTAAAAAATTCAGATGAGTGCAAGACAGAAACCTGTATTTGTTTTACATGATGGTAGGAGTGCTGATGTCTTTTTTTCTATCTAAAACACACAAGACAACATGTATAACTTGCTACTTTTACTTATAATTAGGTCACACTACACATGTATGTACACATTTATGTATACACACTCACTCGAGTTTTTTTTTTAATAGTTCTTCTTTCGACAAACTGGCCGTAACCCACCAAGGCAGGGTGGCCCAAAAAGAAAAACTAAAGTTTCTCTTTTTAAATTTAGTAATTTATACAGGAGAAATGGTTACTAACCCCTTGCTCCCGGCATTTTAGTCACCTCTTACAACACGCATGGCTTACGGAGGAAGAATTCTGTTCCACTTCCCCATGGAGATAAGAGGAAATAAACAAGAACTAGAAAGAAAACAGAAGAAAACCCAGAGGAGTGTGTATATTTATGCTTGTACATGTATGTGTAATGTGACCTAAGTGCAAGTAGAAGTAGCAAGATGTACCTGAAATCTTGCATGTTTATGAGACAGAAAAAAGGACACCAGCAATTCTATCATCATGTAAAACAATTACAGGCTTTCGTTTTACACTCATTTGGCAGGACGGTAGTACCTCCCTGGGTGGTTGCTGTCTACCAACCTACTACCTATATTAATAGTTCTTGTTCTTATTATTTTCCTTTCATATTCATGAAGAAGTGGAATGAGAATTTTTCCTCCATAAGCCATGCATGTATGTCATAAAAGTCAACTAAAATGCCAGGAGGAATGTGCTAGCAACCCCTTTTCCTGTACGGCTTACTAAAAATAAAAAGAAGAAAACCTTTAAGAAGGGGGCAAAAGAGGTTTTGTGTACAAGGAGCCTGGACATGCAGCAGGCATGTGTGAGCATTTACGATAGGAGTGAATGGAGACAAATGGTTTTAGGGACCTGACGAGCTGTTGGAGTGTGACCAGGGTAATATTTTGTGAAGGGATTCAGGGAAACCGGTTAGCCGGACTTGAGTCCTGCAAATGGGAAGTACAATACCTGCACTTTAAAGGAGGGGTCTGGGATATTGGCAGTTTGGAGGGACATCTAAACTGTCGTATCTGAGCACCTCTGCAAAGACAGTGATTATGTATGAGTGATGATGAAAGTGTTAAATGATGATGAAAGTTTTTTTTTTCTTTCTTTTTGGGTCACCCTGCCTTGGTGGGAAATGGCTGGCATGTTAAAAAATAATAATAATAATAATAATAATGCAAAGTGGAACTAATCACAGTTGATTTTTTGCCAATAACACTTTACTTTCAGGAGATTCTGAATAGAAGTTGAAAAGGTTGGTGGACTTATTTTGGAGGGTATGCACAAGAAGGACATTAAACTGAATGTAGAAAAGAGAAGGTTATAAGAGTAACAAAGTAATGCAAGACTACAAATCAGATTGGAGGGGGAGAGCAGGGAAAGTAAATGTGTTCAGATCTGTCAGCAGATGGGTCTATGAAAAACAAGGTGAACCACAGAATTGACGAGGGGAAGAAGGCGAGTGGTGCACTGAAGCATTTGTGAAGACAGAAAAACATCCATGGAGGCAGAAAGAGGAATGTATGAGAGTATACTGGTACCAATGCTCTTATATGGGTGTGAAGCAAGGGTTGTGTATGTTGCAACTAAGAGGAGATTGGAAGAAGTCTGAGGGCAATGTGGTGTGAATATTATGCAGAGAATTTGCAGCTTGGAGATTAGGAGTGCAGGGCTAAAGAGGGGTTGAGGTGGTTCAGACATTTAGAGAAGATGGAATGAAATAGGATGACTTGGAGGGCACATAAATCTGTAGTGGAGGGAAGGCAAGATAGGGGTCATCCTAGGAAAGGTTGGAGGGAGGGGGTAAAGGTTTTGTATGTGAGGGGCTTAGACATCCAGAAAGCATGTGTGAGCATGTTAGATACTAATGAGTGAGCCAAGTGGCTTTTATGACTTGATGTGCTGTTAGTGTGTGAACAAGGTACCATTTATAAAGAATTCAGGGAAACTGGTTAGCCAAACTTGAGTCCTGGAGGTGGGAAGTACAGTGCTTACACTCTGAAGGAGCGGTGTGGATTTTTGCAGGTTTGAACTGTGGTACTGGCACACCTCTGGCAGGAGAGTGATGGAGTGAGTGATGGTCAACATATTTCTTCTTTTTCTGGGTCACTCTGCCTCAGTGGGAGATGGCCAATGTGTTTAAAAAGAAAATTATGTGTTTCCTTTATTGTGTTACCCTACCTTGGTTGTCAGAAGTGTACAAACATTACAATTCAAATATCTCCTTAAACTTCCATATCCCCAACCCTTCTTCAGAGTGAGCACTGTACATCCTACCTCCAGAACTCAAGTACAGTTAATCAATTTCCTTGAATCTCTTCATAAATTTTATCTTGCTCAAACTCCAACTGCATGTCAGACAATTAAGACTAGTGTTTTTTATTGCAGCTGGAGTGTGAGCAAGGTAACAAAATTTATGACAGGATTAAGGGAAACCGATTAGCTAAACTAGATTGTTCTGAAAGTCTGCAAATCTGGCAGAAATGTCTAGTACAGACTGTATGTTAGGGATTGGCAGAGAGCATGCATAGTTCCTTTTTATAAAGGCAAAGGGGACAAAAGAGAGTGCAAAAATTATAGGGGGATAAGTCTGCTGAGTATACCTGGTAAAGTGTATGGTAGAGTTATTATTGAAAGAATTAAGAGTAAGATGGAGAATAGGATAGCAGATGAACAAGGAGGCTTTAGGAAAGGTAGGGGATGTATGGACCAGGTGTTTACAGTGAAACATATAAAGGAACAGTATTTAGATAAGGCTAAAGAGGTCTTTGTGGCATTTATGGATTTGGAAAAGGCATATGACAGGGCGGATAGGGGGGCAATGTGGCAGGTGTATGGTGTAGGAGGTAGGTTACTGAAAGCAGTGAAGAGTTTTTACGAGGATAGTGAGGCTCAAGTTAGAGTATGTAGGAAAGAGGGAAATTATTTCCCAGTAAAAGTAGGCCTTAGACAAGGATGTGTGATGTCACCGTGGTTGTTTAATATATTTATAGATGGGGTTGTAAGAGAAGTAAATGCGAGGGTCTTGGCAAGAGGCGTGGAGTTAAAAGATAAAGAATCACACATAAAGTGGGAGTTGTCACAGTTGCTCTTTACTGATGACACTGTGCTCTTAGGAGATTCTGAAGAAGTTGCAGAGATTGGTGGATGAATTTGGTAGGGTGTGCAAAAGAAGAAAATTAAAAGTGAATACAGGAAAGAGTAAGGTAATGAGGATAACAAAAAGATTAGGTGATGAAAGATTGGATATCAGATTTGAGGGAGAGAGTATGGAGGAGGTGAATGTATTCAGATATTTGGGAGTGGACGTGTCAGCGGATGGGTCTATGAAAGATGAGGTGAATCATAGAATTGATGAGGGGAAAAAGGGTGAGCGGTGCACTTAGGAGTCTGTGGAGACAAAGAACTTTGTCCTTGGAGGCAAAGAGGGGAATGTATGAGAGTATAGTTTTACAACGCTCTTATATGGTGTGAAGCATGGTGATGAATGTTGCAGCGAGGAGAAGGCTGGAGGCAGTGGAGATGCCATGTCTGAGGGCAATGTGTGGTGTGAATATAATGCAGAGAATTCGTAGTTTGGAAGTTAGGAGGAGGTGCGGGATTACCAAAACTGTTGTCCAGAGGGCTGAGGAAGGGTTGTTGAGGTGGTTCGGACATGTAGAGAGAATGGAGTGAAACAGAGTGACTTCAAGAGTGTATCAGCCTGTAGTGGAAGGAAGGCGGGGTAGGGGTCGGCCTAGGAAAGGTTGGAGGGAGGGGGTAAAGGAGGTTTTGTGTGCGAGGGGCTTGGACTTCCAGCAGGCATGCGTGAGCATGTTTGATAGGAGTGAATGGAGACAAATGGTTTTTAATACTTGACGTGCTGTTGGAGTGTGAGCAAGGTAACATTTATGAAGGGGTTCAGGGAAACTGGCAGGCCAGACTTGAATCCTGGAGATGGGAAGTACAGTGCCTGCACTCTGAAGGAGGGGTGTTAATGTTGCAGTTTAAAAACTGTAGTGAAAAGCACCCTTCTGGCAAGACAGTGATGGAGTGAATGATGGTGAAAGTTTTTCTTTTTCGGGCCACCCTGCCTTGGTGGGAATCGGCCAGTGTGATAATAATAATAATAAGTTTGATAGTCAGATACTGATGTTCTGGGAAGAAAGGGCCTCATTTTCATAAAGAGGAAAGAAAAAATTTCAAGGTTACCATTATAATAAAGCAGCAATATCAGACAAGTATAAAGTTATGCACATTGTATAAAATGTAGTTAACTTACATGAGTAGTAAGATATGGAACAGCAGTGGGTATTGCAAGGAAGGTCTGCACAGCAAGAGGGCAGTGAGCTAACCAAGTAGAAAGAAGCATAAGTATGCCAAAGCGAGTAAGCACTTTTGATCGGGCCTGAAGAATGGAAGTACACTGCTGCAGCAGTGACACAGCTGCACTCCCCACACTTGTGGCTAACTGCACTCGCAACATGTTTTCCTGAAATGAAAATTCAGCAATGAACAAGTTTGAAATACAATTCAATAACTTTCTCAGGGAGGCTGAAAGTGACAGTATGAATTCAATATTCTGAGTGCCGTATTTAAAACTAAGTACAGAAGCTTCCTGTAATGAATGCCATATTGACAACTAATAATAATCAAAGGCCATTATAAAATAACTCCTACTCTCTCAAAAAATATAAATCTGCATTTAAGCACATTCGCTTAGCAGAATGTCAATGCACTTACAAAATATTTAACTGAAAAATCTAAAGCATAACCTAATCATAATATAATGCAGAGTGGAAGAACTGCCAATATGGTTTGGTAATGTAGAAAGAGTAATAAGAGGAGAGGCTGATACAGCAGTAAATGAGAGAGATGTTTGAAAAACATTATAGAGGAGACTGCAGTAGGCCTACTGTCCCACATCAGGCAGGTCCTACTCACACACAGCTACTCCCACTTACATACTTGCTAAATCTAGCTTTAAAGATACCCAAAGTTTTTGCTTCAGTGACGGTACTTGGTAACCTATGTCACTCATCCATAACTCTATTGCCAAGCCTGTGCCTTTCTATATCCCTTTTAAATATAAATGTATCCAACTTTAATTTGTTACTGCAAGTATTATTCTTCTCCTCTGTACGCCATGCATGCCATCTGAGGCGGCTAAAATGCCGGGAGTAAGGGGATAGTAACCCCTTCTCTTGCATAAATTACTAAATTTAAAATGAAAACTTTCGTTTTTATCTTGAGGTCACCCTGCCTTGGTGGGATATGGCAGGATTGTTCAAAAAGAAAAGTATTATTCTGGTCAGATATTTTCAGTACTATTTTTTTTTTAACTTAGTGGCCTTCTCCCACCAAGGCAATATGACCCCAAAGAAAAAAAAAAGAACATTCATCAGCATTCATTTAGGCACCATCTTTCTAGAATTGTGCTGACATCATAATCAGATTATCCTCTGACTAACATCTTCACCCTTCCTTCAGAGTGAAGGTACTGCTCTACTTATCTCCAGAACTCAAATTCAGTTTCTCTGAATCCCTTCATAAAAGTTACCTTGTTCACATTCCAATAGCCTGTCCATTAACAACCATCTGTCTCCTCCATTCACTCCTATCAATCATACTCATACATGTCTGCTGGATGCTCAAGCCCCTAAAACTCCAAGCCTCTTAAGCCCTCCCTCCAACTATTTCTGGGATGACTCCCTTCCTCTCCTACCTTCCATCCCAGATTTATGCACTCTCTTTGTTAACCTATTCTTCTCCAGTCTCTCTCCATGCATGTCCAAACCAACTCAACAAACTCCTCAGCCCTATGAATTATATCCTCAGTGACTCCATACCACTTTCTGATCTCTATTCTGCAAATTCTCTGCAAGATATTCACACCACACACTGCTCTCAAATATGACATCTCAACTGTCTCCAGCCACCTCTTCGCTGCAGCATTCAAAACCCATGCTACATACCCACATAAAAATGTTGGTGCCACTATATTCTGGTACACTACCATTTTTTTTTCATCTCCACAGATAAATTTTCTTCCCACAGATACATCACCACACCACCCACCTTTTCCCTGATCTATTTTAAGGTTCACCTCATCTTTCATAGCCCCCATCTCTTAATATCTTCAAATATGTATCTAAATGCACCCACTTCCTCCATACTCCTTTCCTCTAATCTGATATTCAATTTATCACTACCTAGATTTTTTTTTTTTACCCTCATCACCTTGCCCTTTTATGTACTTTTCTAAATTTGTCTACCAACCTTTGTAACTTGTCTTCAGATTCTGTAAAAGAACCATCTCAACAGCAGAAAGCAACTAAGATAATTCCCACTTAATGTCAGATCTAACAATTGTCAATTCAAAACCCCTTCCCAACATACTAGCTTTCACTTCCTTTACAATCCTCTATCTATAAATATGTTACACAACCAAGGTAACATCTTGGATCCTTGTGCAAGTCCTACATTCACTGGGAAGTCCCCCACTCCCTCCCATATATTCTAACTTGCACTTCACTCTGCATAAACTCTCTCAACTGCTTTTCAATTCAATTCAATTCAAAGTTTATTCTCTATAAGGATTACAATGCTGAGTTTACAGAATTTGGTTATTGTGTGGTTTACATGTAGTAAAATAATAATTACAGAGTGTACCACTAGAACACCTAGCATGGCTAGGCATTTCGGGCAGACTTAGTTTATTTCTTAATTTTAAAATATTACAAATTATGAGGTAAGTTGGTATTATGGCTAAGTGACTAAATACTAGTTTGTGAGTTTAGCAATGTGAATGCTTTTGTTTTGGCACAGTACATAGTTTCAGTATTGGAGTATCACAGGATTCATTATTTTAAGATTGAGATTAATATTTCTGTTTATGGTCAAATGGGTGAGTGAGTGTAAGTGTGAACCACCAGGTGGTATTCGTGTAGTTAGTTGATGGGGTGTATCAGGGAGATAAGATGTTTTCTAATGGTAGTTTTGAAGGTGATGAATGTGTCTGCAGTTCTAGAGTTCTCAGGTAGGGTGTTCCAGATTTTAGGGCCTTTGACAAACATTGAATTTTTGTAAAGGTTTAGTCGGACACGGGGAATATCAGAGATGTTTGTGTCTGGTGTTATGCCTGTGGGTTCTGTCACATATTTATGCAACATCTGCCACATTGCTACCCTATCATATGCTTTTTCTAAAACCACAAATGCAACAAATAGCTCTAACATTATCTAAATACTGCTCACTTACATGCTTCAATGTAAACACATGGTCTACACATCTACCTTTCCTAAATCTTTTCTGCCCATCTGCAATCATACTTTCTGTTTTACCCCTAATTCTTTTAAAAACAATTCTACCATAAACTTTACCTGGAATATTCAGTAGGTTTATCCCCCCTATTATTCTTACATTCTCTCTTGTCCCCTTTCCCTTATACAGCACAACTATGTATACTTTCTGCCAATCGGCAGCGGCAGCAGCGACCTCCAAGCTCCGTACTTTTCTCCAACTATCAGAGCCACCAATGCTCCTATGATGACCTAGTTACAAGCAAAACTGCACTACCCAACGTAGCACCCAGAATGACCAAAGATTACCAACAGTGAAACCTACAAATCGAAAATATTAGAGATCAAAGGAAGACTGCCCACAAACCGAAAGCAACACCCCGCTGCCAGCCGAACAACGTAACCCCAAGCTTTGTATAACTACTTTTTCTTAACTACAACAATTCCTGTAGTATTATGAGGCGCAATCTAAGAGGAAACAGCACAAGGCCAGCAAGAAAACACCGAAAAATAAAACTATTCAACAAGTGTAGCCAGGAGGACCCCGGGCCCGCAACCACCCCTCTCACCACCACTCAAGGCGAACCACAACAATAACAACAAACATGGCTGCCACCAGCCCATCCTCCCTCTCTTCCCCGGATTCAACCTACCAAGTAGTCTCTCAGGTATAACCAACGATCCAGTACCCTAAAGACATGCATCTCCACCTTAGTTATTGAAAATATGAATCTTCGAGAGACACCTAACAAAACAAGACACCAGGATGACCCAACTCGAGAACAAAATCCTCAGTCTTGAACAAAAGTTATCAACACCAGGAATGACTGTGACAAGACCATCCAAGCAGTCATAGATACCCCATACCCAACAATAAAATCTCTTAATACAAAGGTTGAAGAAGCAGTAAAAGAATGGAAGAACAACTTAGATAACCAGTTCAGTGACAAACTTTGCTCCCCCAAGAAGATAAATTGAGCAAAAATAAACTATCAGACGCAGTAATAGTTAACATTTCCACTTTTCCCAGTGATATGAACCAAAACCAAACAGTAAAGAAATTACTCTGCAGATCATAAAGGCCCAAACAAGTGTTATTGTGCCAGAGTAAAGAAAAAAGAAGCCAGGTTAACGGATCCCATGGTAAAAAAGTGTTATGCTTAGATTCCACTTACATGACGGGAAAAAAGACTTAATAATTGCATCTATTAAAGTAAAGAAAGAGGTATACATAAACGAGTGTCTTACAAAAAACGTCAGAACCCCCTGTATAGAGTCAGTTAACTTAAGCGGAGAATAATGACACAATACACCAATGCTTCACAGGGGATGGGAAAATTCTAGTTGGGAAAAACAAATGTAGGTCAACTGTACACAATCACGAACGAGAATGATCTATCACGATTTCTCAGGGATACTGATCTTACAGAGAATAACTAAATGTCCAACCTAAAAGCCTACGTAATGTAGTGTATGTTTTGCTCCATTATTGTTCAAATCTCGTAGTACAATCTCTTAGTAATTAAATAATCAACTACCTCTTTTTGTGATTTTACTAGTAAGCATAAGTCACCTTATCTAATTTTCTTATTTACTATTGTTTGCTTAAATATTAGCTGAATCAATACTTTCTCTGTCCATATTACTACCTATTTTTTTAAATACTATCAATTGATATTACTTTACTAAAATTAATAATTACCAAATTTTTACTATCAATACAATTTACTCTTAACATTTTGACATCATTTAATAACCATTACTTGTCTAATTACCTTAACCAGTTTTAATACCCATTTACTATCTTAGAGTACTCTTAATTACCTTGTACTCCAAAAAAACCTCAAGTATAAAAAACCAGTGCAATTTTGAAAAAAAATAAACATTACTTTTTCACTTATTTTGTAATCATTATTACTTACTAAAAATTTTATTAAACACCATATTTACAAACCAGTCAATTTTACTTTTGTACTTAATCATTTTTTATACTTCCCATAACATTTTGTTCCCAAAATTTTCCAAGTTTGTATATTCAACTCCAACCTTTATATTATCCTTTGTACCTGTGTACCTGTCTACCATCTTATATCATATTATAACCAAGACATTGCCATTGTTATTTTTTACTTATTATTCTTTTGGTACTTTAATTTGTGAATTTTATTTTGTCAATTTAAATCTAGTTTTT